GAATCACAGAATCCTTTAGGTTGGAAATGGCCTTCCAAGATCAAGTCACATTTTTGAGAAAGTAAAGAAGACTTGACTCATGCTAAATTTATGTTTTCATAGGGAAAGATTCACTGCTGAATCCCCTCCTGGCTGTATCTATTAATAAAACCAGCCAAAGGCATTTCCAGGCTGGAGGCCAAGTGACAGCATGGAAAGGTCAGTGTGTTGTGCTGTCTTTGAGCACCTTGATGGTGGAGGCTGAAGGTGCCAACAGCCCTTTGGAAAGCTACAGCAACTGGCCAAATTTAACCAGGCTGTGAGCTCCTCTACTTTGGGAATTAGAGGGCCATTGAATGCTAATTTTTGGGAGGTGCTGCTGCTGCCTTGGACCAAGATGCTCAAAGCAAAACCACTGTTGTAGCTTCCAAAGAGAAAATTGTGCTGCATCTCAGCRGCAGTTTTCTTTCTACACCTGTTTGTAGGAAGGGTTGTGTACACCAGTGGCCTTCTTCCTTCAGCTTCTGGGCTGCTTCCCCATGGATGATGTGGGAGATCTAGCTGGAGTCTGATCCTTGGTGGTCTCGTACCACCTTTCATTGCTGAGCTTTCAGCTCTCTGGGAGGSCTCTTGCTAACAGAGCTCTCAGCTCATTGAGGCTGCATTGCCTTCCCTCTGGTTTGGGATATCCTAAAGTAGTCTTTATCAGTGGATTAAAGCTTCTAGCRCATGAATATTTCCAGTGATCAAGAGGATTGGTTGCTAGAATTTTATGGTACAAATACGAGCTTGTGTAGGCTCTGGCCTGGCTGTGACAGCCCAAGGTGTTTGGTGAATGAGGTAARAGAACTTCTTTTCCTTTTTCTTCTTTGTAGAGTGTATTTTGTGCACTGACCTGCATTCCTGTTTTGCCATATAAACTTGCTCAGGTTTGACCATCATGGACATGGGGAACAACGGGCCCAGGAAGGAAAATTACCTACCTGAGATTGGCACTAGCAATAAATAAACACTGAAGGCATAATCACTGCTCTGTGTGGCCTTTGTTCAAAAAAACATGATGCCCATGCTTGGACTTCTTTTATTAGCTCTTTAATTGCTTCTGCTTTGACACATGTCAATTGTCCAAGCAAGGACAGCACAATGGTTACGTAATTTTATTTTATTTTTAGTTGCTATATGCAATTTTATTGTATTTTGTGTTCTCCATCAACCCCCAGTAATTACTTTAGTATCCATGGTGACTAAACAAACTGGCACAATCACAAAAAGACCTTGGGCTGGCAGCAGTTTCCTTGCTGTGTAACCAGTTGCTCCTTCCAATTAAAGGTATATTTATCTACAAGTGACAAGTTCAATCATGTAGTTTGTTTTCATCATTTGTAGTCTCAGAAGTTCTCTATAAGCTTAAAATATTGGTGGTTTGGGGTTTTTCCTAGGTAACTCCATTGAAGAAAAATGTTTTAACTGCCTGCTAAACTTATTTTCAGTATGTAGTATCTGTAAAATGCTAGACACACTTCAGAGGTATCTGCTTTCATCAAATCAAATAGGAACGAGTTTTCAAACAGGAATTCTGTATTTATTCCTTGTGGGTAGACACTCTGCCATCATTAGGAGTTCAAAAGGGGCAATGCTGATCTCTGCCTTTTGACAGCCCAATAATTTTCTTTCCCAGGAAATATGTACATTTCTCTCATATTGCCCAGGACATCTTGCTAATTTGTTCTCATGTCTAGTTTGAATATTAAAATAAAAAAGCACTTATCACATCATATGTTACAGCAGAAACATGAATATCCTTGTTGGTTTATTTTTTATTGCCCAAAAGGACTTTGATCTCACAAGCTGAAAATGATAAGCAGTTATATAGTTTGTGGGTTGCTTTCAGGCTTATTCCAGTCTTTTGCCTTGTTCTCAGTGAAGCATTTGTCRGGATAAAAACTAAAAAATTATATGGCAAATGAAATGATTCATTGTAAGGATTGTATATGAGAAACAACCATCTGGTTTTGCCTTTGCCTTGGTTGGACACTTTTCCTGCAGCTCATGGCTCTTTCCAGAGCTCTGGTTTTTGCTTTGGTCAGCTGGGTTACATTCATCTGTCTCAATGCACAAAGTAAGTAATGTTATRTTTATAAATGCCTGAGTGTTTTACTGCTGTGATTGAAATGGAACAAAATTAAATTTATTGAATTCATACAAATCACAAACCTAGAAGTTTTTAATACTTTGATTTATTGATAAAACAACATCTAAACAAGCAACTTTTTTGCCCTTGGAAATGGTGTGTGGGCTTTTAGGCACTGAGCAATGGAAAGTTGAAAACCATGCTCTTGTAAGTACAAGGGGTTTTACATGTTTTCTTTTAACTTTTGGGATTAGGTTATTTTATACTGCAGCAGTCTATAAATTAAATACCTAGGCTGAAGCTGAGTCTGAGGATGGAGACTTTCAAAGCAGGGATCAGCTGAATTCCTTGCTGCTGCTGCTGAGCTAAATATGATTGGAGTAGTTACCATTGCTACTTSTGCTATTYAGARTGATAAGTACTCCACCAAAAGTTCYGTTTGATRTATTGACCTCCAGAAAGAGAAAAYKGCCAATTTTTTATCTTTTTCACTAGTCCYGAGCCCAGGCTTTTGCATATTCAGAGATGGAGGTGGTGAATTAGACTCGTAACCAGCAGCTGCTGACTGTAGAAATTGTCATTAGGATTCTATTCAGTTACTTGTGTRCAAATCTGTCCACTGCCCACCTATAAATGAGATCCTGTAGAGTGATGCAGATATGATGGTATCTACCTAGCCAGGAAAAAATAGCCCACTAGTTGTTTATACCAAATGTCCCTTTAAATATTAATCAGGATGGCAAGGACAAGAGTGGGGACATTCTTACCATTGGTACAAACTCATGTAAGACCACAAATGTTGCACAGGTATCTGTAAGAGCATAAATTGCACTCTGGAAGCTTTACTGATGAATTCTAGTCTGGGAAGGGGGAAGAATTTTGGAAGACTTCCAGATTTCTGTGTGTATAGTTTTCAGATC